GGGTGGGGGGCCGAACCGTGACGTTTGCACGCCCGGGTTGTGCCGGTGCTGCACTCGGAGAGGCTTGCACAACCGTTCACATGTGCTCTGCGGGCCCGCAGCCGCTGAAGCAGAAATAAGCAGCTATTTTGGGGCAGATCAAACTTCATGAAGAGGCTCAGTGCATGCACACAAACACAAAAATCAAACCAAAACACAATGGTGAAAAGGAAAAAGAAAATAAATAATCAAACAATTTAAACAATAGGGAAAAAAATAAAAAAGAAAAAGAAATTGAGAAAAGGAAAAAAGAAAAAAGAAAAAAGAAAAAAGAAAAAAGAAAAAAGAAAAAAGAAAAAAGAAAAAAGAAAAAAGGGAAAGGGAAAGGGAAAGGGAAAGGGAAAGGGAAAGGAAAAGGAAAAGGAAAAGGAAAAGGAAAAGGAAAAGGAAAAGGAAAAGGAAAAGGAAAAGGAAAAGGAAAAGGAAAAGGAAAAGGAAAAGGAAAAGGAAAAGGAAAAGGAAAAGGAAAAGGAAAAGGAAAAGGAAAAGGAGAGAAAGGGGAAGGGGAAGGAGAAGGAGAAGGAAAAAAGGAAAAAGAAAAGGGAAAAGAAAAGGGAAAAGGAAAGGAAAAGGAAAAGAAAAAAAGAATAATAAGAATAAGAATAAGAATAAGAAGAAAAAAGGAAAAGAAAAAGGAAAAGGAGGAAAAAGGAAAAAGGAAAAAGGAAAAAGGAAAAAGGAAAAAGGAAAAAGGAAAAAGGAAAAAGGAAAAAGGAAAAAGGAAAAAGGAAAAAGGAAAAAGGAAAAAGGAAAAAGGAAAAAGGAAAAAGGAAAAAGGAAAAAGGAAAAAGGAAAAAGGAAAAAGGAAAAAGGAAAAAGGAAAAAGGAAAAAGGAAAAAGGAAAAGGAGACCATTTGCTGCAGAAAGGTTTTAGCTTGTACACAGCCTAATTAATGCACTGAGAGTGATGGAGAGTCTATAAATAGCATTTTTCAAAACAAACTGTCAAGCCACAGTGTCTGTGTGACCTTTCCAAATAATGCCCCCAGCAAGAGAGCCAGACTGGCCCTTTGTCATCGCAAGATAACGTGTCTCTGGGGCAACTTGGGTTTTGCGTCCATGCAAGGCTGGGCTGCTGCTCTGCTGGCCATTTATTGGAGAGGAGGGAGGAGAAAGGGTCAGCGAGGGAGAAAATGCAGCTTTGGAAACCCAAGCCCTGAGCTGTTCCCTTCAGGTTTGTGAGGAGGAACTTGGAGATCCATGAGAAGTTTCAGCAGAGCCTCGCTCTCTCCTACGTATGGGGAAAAGGATGATCGGTCGCAGGGGAGAAGGCTTTGAAGTCTTGAAATAGCTTGCATGGTTGGAGGCTTCCCCGTGAGGGATCTGAAAGCTTTTGGCATTAGCAATGCACCCAAATTCTTGTTGCCTCCTTGAGAAAGGTGTTATCACGCAGCTTCACTGGCATGAGAGGTTTCTGTGCATGTGCCTGTTGCAAGGTGTCTACAATGGATGTGTTCATGTACAAGCACCATCCTGCTCCTCTTAGAGGTAAAATAATGCCATGGTCGCACTTTTGCTTTGAAAAATAGCACAAATGTGTGAACATCTTCAAGAACAAAGTGGCTGTGTATTCCAGAAAGTAAAACGCAAAACGTAGTTTTGATCATGAAGTGATGGACATAAGTACAAATAAATGAAACCAAAAAAAACACAAAAAAGAAACAAAAAGGAGAGAAGGAGAAAGAAAGAGAGCAAATATAGCAAGGACAAAAAGTTTCATATGCTGAAAAAATGTTATGATCGCCTCTTATCCCCTTCTCCACATAGATGTTAGAAACACTGCACACTTTGGTGAACCAGAAGAAAAGCTCTCTCTGCTCCAGCCAGCGAGACTTGCCATCTTATGACGAAAGTGACTCTTCCCGTCTCAGCCTGTCTCCCCACTGAGAAACAGAGTCGATAATACTTTCTTGGCCTATTTGATCAAGTTGGGTCATGAGTGACTCTCCAGCAGAGAAGCCGTCGGGGCTGCTAGGAGTGACAGCTTTGCAGATAACGCTAGCAGCCCGGAGGCTTTGATGGCAAGCCAAATACATCTTGGCTCAGAGCTGCTGTCAGGAAAGTTAAAGATACCAGCTTGGTTTGCATAGGCTGAGTGCCGGTTTGATGGCTTAATAGAAATGATTCAACCAGTCCTCCCGTCATGAATGGAAGGTCTTTGCAACCACCCCACGGCTATGGAGCCAGGCTGAGACTGTGCCAGGGTCCCCCAGAGGACCGTCAGTTGGTTTAGAGCCATGCTAGGATGGTCGTGGGGCGAATGACCAGTCGCAGCACGTGTTGGCCGGGTGCACTGAACTATCAGTTACTGTTGCTGAAAACGGGTCCAGCTTTCCGTTTCAGCGCGGCACGGGCTGGTTCACCCAGGTAAGCGTGTGCTAGAAAAGCATGCCTTCAAACCACACAGCTGCTGGCGGCGCGTCGGCCTCCTTGCTGCTGTCACCAAGAGGAGCACCATGAGACCCCACTGGTGGAGATGCAGAGGACTGAGGGCCGGGACTCTCGCATCTCCCAGCCGGCCAGCAAGCCCACGTGTGTCAGTGGGCGACATGTCTCCTGGGACACCCAGGCTTGCCCTGGGAGAATGCTTTCTGCCTTGTGTTTTGACACAGTGCATGCTTTTGTGGGTAATTTCTGCTTCCCTCATAAAATCGTATCAAACCCAAACTCATAATTTTTTTATTAGGAAATCAGCATTTTGGGCAATTCCCTCTAATCTTCCTTCCCCCTCTTACTTTGGTTGGCAATGCCCATTTCTGATGAAAAGTCAACCTTTTCGGTAGAAGCAACCCCTCCTATTTCCAGTTAAGCTCCAAACCACATTTCTGATAGCTTTCCTTCCAAACTCAGTTCCATATTCGGGGAACAACAATAAAAACAACAAAGGGCTTTGATGCTGATCTTGAGACACCTCAAAAGACCTCAACTTCCAGAGCATGCTTAGCTCCCACCCCTGAAACTCAGTCCTATTCGAATTACGGTTAGTAAAAAAACAAGTGAAAAGAAGAAGTTGCAATTCCTCTATCAGATGAAACGGCCTCCAAGAGAGGCCGATTCCATGTGCAGCTGCAGGTTGTTATAATGCCTGAGGACAAACACCCAAAACAACCAGCTCTCTCCACCAGTGGCACTTAAATCCAGCTGTGAACAGCTGGATAAATCCAGCTGTGATCTATCTCATGCAAGCGAATAACAGCAGCTGTAGCAATAGAGCTGTTGAGTTTGGGAACCACCATCATGGGCCATGGCTTTGCTGTGCCGGGAGCTTTAGAGGTGCAGGATTAAAGGTAAGTTTTGACCCTATAGAGATATAGAGCCAGCCTTAAAGACATCATGAGTGCTTAGGGAACCACAGTAGAACAAATGAGAGACTCACATGAAGGAAAAACCCACCCCAAGTGAGAAGTGGATTGGTGATGCTGACATTCGATTGATGTCGAATCCAGAGGTACATACTGCTTGCCTGACTGTGTTATCTCTATTGAGCTAAATAATGTCAGGAGGAATTAGGCTTTTGTTAACGATTAAAAAAAAATAAAAAATCGGAGGCAGCAGTGGGAAAACTGACAACTGTGAAAGAAATTGCGCAACACTGAGATCAGAAAAAAAAAAGGCAAGGAATGCAAAAAAATACAAACAAACAAAAAAATAACCACAACTGAAAGAAAAAGGTTTTTATTTTACATTACATGCCACACTTCCGTAGTCAATCATTTTGCCTGATTGAACTTGAATTGCTCCCACAGGGTATAATTCAGTTCTTTGATTTTTGTACGTGTTTGAATTGTCTGGATTTTGTGCTTCTTCTATCAATTCACTTGAATTGCCTTCTTTCATGAGAATGTCTCATATCTCAAAGATCTTGCATGCTTCCTATCAGCCCATTTTGACACATAGGACAGAGTCAGACATAACATCATTTCTGGAAACTCAGGCACCGGTAGAGCAAAATAAGATATTTCCCAGAATGTCAGTGTGAATATTGCTCCAAAACTGGAACTGAACCTAACAAACCAAAATATTTTTGAGAGCTGAAAATGGCTAGCATGGTACTTAATGCATTTTTTAGCATCTTTCTGTTTCTGCCTTCTGGCATGAAGCAGAAGTAAAAGCTGCCTCCCTGAATATAGCTTCTGTTGTGCTTCTCACCAGAGTGAGAAGGTTGATAAAAACCCCATGAAGAACTGGCAACGTCTGCTTGGTTGTGGAGGTAGGAGAGCACAGCCGCTTGGAAATGTGCCATGAAAACAATTTTACAACAGAAAGCATGGTTTCTGGAAAAATGGTACTCCACAGAAACATATCCTAATTCACATGGTTGAAGAGCTACACCTCTCACAAATTTGATCTCCACAACTAATGTCAATTTTGAAGAACATTTTGATGTTGCAGGAGTTCCTCTCTTTGCCCCATGGCAGAGACCCTCCATCATCATCCGCAATACCGCAAGGATCGAAGTCTGCCATTCCACCCATCTTATTTATGTGCCACCCCACTTTTCTCTCTCCTCATGCCCTGCCTCCCCTAATCCCTAGGGGAGCTTTCGCTTTCACCCATGTGAGGAACTTCTGCATGGTGCTAACTGCTTTCTTCCAAGCCTCCTCTATTTTTTGCCATCTTCTAATTTTCAGTCTCTCTCTGCCCTTAATCTGCAAAACTTCTTTGCCACAAATATATATAGATTGCTGACGGAGGCTGGGCAGAGGTAGCAGAGGGCTTCGTGCTAAAAGGCAATCATCTACCAAAACGCCATCTGCGACCTGCAGATAATTGCAGAGGTGGATGAAGCCAAGAAACAGCCTCCAAGCAGTGGCTCTGTGCACCCTTATTTTATACTCTTTCCTTTCTTCTCTTTCTCTTTGTAGTCTCTCTGGGTTCTCTGATGCCTGCTATTTCTTCTGAAATTTCCAGCTGGCTGGATATACCATCAACAAGTTGTCACGCTGCAGACAGGGCAGCAGACAGAGAAATCTCATGCAGTTGATGTCTCAGATCTCACTTTGCTCAACCAGTGAAAAAGGAGTGCTTTTCCCTCTTAATTTCTTTGATGAGCAGGGGAAACTGGCAGCTACAAACAGTTAGTGATGTAAACTGAATCTTCCGAAGCACGCTGATAAACTCCCTGCCTGGCAATGCTAAAGATACAGAAACCGCACGCCTGTTACATGACGGCTTGTTCTCAAGACCTGCTGCTGGGGGACCACCACTTTGCAAAACCCCACGGGAAGGCGAAGAAAACAGCAATTGAGCTAAGAATCTTACCTTGTACAGAGGCTTGGTTTAGATGAGAGATGTTGATAAATTGTCTGCCCTTTGATAGAAATAGAAAAAAAAAATAAGACATTTATTACTTTGCTGTGTTTGCAGGAAGACCTGCTCTCAGCTTCACAGATGGGTGGAAATCTGATCTGGAGCCCACTGTAGTCAGTCAACAATCCCTGCATCTGGCTCCATATGTGTCGTGATACTTTTGGCACATTTTGCCATGATGTGTTCATAGCTGTCTTGTCTGTCAGCTTGAACAATCCTTGGTTCCCCTCTAAATAAAAGCATCAATCTGCTACCCGCTCATTTAGACCCTGGTCTCTCTACCTCTTGTTCACTGATGCCAGATTTCGGGTCAATGGGGAGACATGAATGGTCCCATTGAGAAATGACAATTGCAATATTATTTGAGGCAGAAAACCAAGGATACTCTTTGCAGTAATTGTCCCAAGGCTCTTGGAATATCCTTTGCTCAGGGGTATGTTCAAAAAATGGAGGCAGTGATTATATTAGCAAATTAAACAGCAGCAAAGTACTGCAACTCATGTAGGCATACTTTTAAAACGTTGACATGGTCCATAGTTTGGTTTGGCCCAGACCCTGAGAGCAGCCAATTGACCACAGACCACTCCTAATCTGCAGCTGGGATGCAATTACCTTGTTTTGTGGGCTAAGAGTTTAACATCATGGAAATGTCCAGGTGGGCTCTGCTGGCCTCTACGCAACTTCAAACACCATTCCTGTGATCAGTC